GGTGAGCAGCCCCAGAGCACCAACAGACAAACAAACGGAAAAAAAAAACAACAAAAACACCCCCAACAAACAAGAAAAGGCACCAAGAACTGAAAAGAAGTGCAGTGATGTGTAGATGTACAAAGGCAACCGCACTTCCTGTGCCCTAGGAGAGGTGTTTCCTGTTCCCCAGACCGAATGAATCATCCTTCTGCTCGCTGAGCTGAAAAAAAAAAAGGAAAAAAATTAAAAAATAAAACAAGTTGAATTATTATCCTCTCCCTAGATGGATGAGGAGAGAGGGAAATCCCACTGGGGTAGGGGACATTGCTGTGTCACACCTCAGTCACTTGCCCTCCTTGCTCTCAAGTTCTGTGGATACCAAAATAAGTTGTTCCAACATTATGTTGGGAAGGTAGGATGAAGGGGAGTGGCTTTAAATTAAATGTTTAGATGAGATATGAGGAAAAAATTGTTTTCTGTGAGGGTGGTAAGGCCCTGGCACAGGCTGCCCAGGGAAGTGGTGATGCCCCATCCCTGGAAGTGCCCAAGGCCATGGATGGGGTCCTGAGCAGCAGAGCTGGTGGGGGGCACCCAGCCCATGGCAGGGGGCCTTAAAGGCCCTTCAAACCCAACCATCCCATGGTTCCATGATCTTTAAGGTTCCCTTCCTACCCAGCCATCCCATGGTTCTATGATTCTGTGTTATCGTCAGCAATTCTATTTTGAAAGCAATTGATAGTTTTGAAATGATGTTCACTTCCCTTGCAGGGACCCCTTCCCTGTTCCTTCCAGTGTTTTGATGAGGCCAGCTGGAAACCAAAGCAGTGCTGTGGTCAGGGCTGTGGTCTGATTCCCTGCTCTGTGTGGGGACAGCAGTGCTTGGAAGTCCTACCTAAAGCATGGCTTCTCTCTCTTTAGACAAACAAGCCAAAAGCGTGTAGGCCTTGTGATGAGGAGAAGCCTCCATGCGATGGTCAAGCTCTGACCCCAAATCAATGTCCTGGGCCTGGAAAAGCTTGCCCGTTACCATCAACCATCCCAAGGGGTGACTTCTTTGTGATAAGGCTCCTGTATCTCCAGGCTGGGAAGGGATGTGGTTTTAGGTCCTCCAGAATGGGTTTTGTTGGTCCAAGTCGGTGGTTATGTGGTGGTTCTCACTTCTCCATGATGCTGAGCTCCCCATCTCCACAGGTGGAGTACTTGCTAAAGAAGATCTGCACGGCCATGAATGTGGAGCTGAATTCCTGTGAGCTGGACGACTGCCTGTCCCAGGAACCACAGGGGCAGGGCGGCCTGACGGTCTGGCAGTTCCTGGACATGGTGAACTCGGGGCGGCTCCTGCGGGGCATCGAGCAGGAAGCCATCAGCATGGCAGTGGAGGAGGTGTACCAGGAGGTTATTGAGGACGTGCTCAAACAGGCAAGGAGCCCACGTGTCCTGGGGCATGGCTGAGAGAGCTGGTCCCTCTCTGGGGGATGTTCTCCCCGTTGTTAAGGATGTGGTTGCCATGTCATTACACAAACACCCATCCTGCCCTCCTGCCCCCACGTCGTTATTGAACCCTGTGTCTCCTGGGTGCAGGGCTACCTCTGGAAGAAGGGCCAGCTGAGGAGGAACTGGTCGGAGCGGTGGTTCATGCTAAAGCCCAGTGTCTTGTCTTATTACGTGAGTGAAGAACGGAAGGAAAAGAAGGGGAGCATCACCTTGGACAAGCACTGCTGTGTGGAGGTACAGCCTGAGCTCACAGCAGGAGCACCACATCCCACATGTCTGGGGATTTTTCTTGGTTCTCATCCCACTGGTTGTCCCCCATCCACACGGAAGTGATGCCATTCCATGTCCTCTCCCTGTAGGTGCTGCCTGACCGGGATGGGAAGAGGTGCATGTTCTGTGTGAAGACCTCATCCCGCACGTATGAGATGAGTGCTTCTGACACCCGGCAGCGCCAGGAATGGACACTAGGTTCGTACACCATGCCCACTCTGTGCCTGTCCCCAGAATCCCACGTCCCTCCTGACATCCTCCTTTTCCCTCCACAGCCATCCAGACTGCCATTCGACTGCAGGCTGAAGGCAAGAAGTCCCTGCACAAAGACCTGAAGCAGAAGCGACGGGAGCAGCGCGAGCAACGGGAGCAGCGCAAGGCAGCCAAGGAGGAGGAGACGCAGCGGCTCAAGCAGCTCCAGGAGGAGAAGGAGCGGAAACTGCAGGAGTTGGAGCTGCTGAAGGAGGCCCAGCGGCAGGCAGAGATACTGCTGCAGGAGGAGGAGCAGCGGCGGAGGCAGCAGCACGAGGAGATGCAGAGGACCCTGGAGATCCAGCTGCGGGAAGCCGAGCAGGTGGGGGTAAACCTAAGGCAGGTCCTGCAGTGGGGCTGCATCGCTTGTCCCATCTCTGTCCCTTGGCCAGGTCAGCTTGGGGAGGGTTGACAGAGCTTTTAGAAGCATGTTCTCCTCTTGCAGTAACACTGCTGGTACCTCTGGTGGTGGTGGTGGTGGTGGTGGTATGCACAGTGGTGTGTGACATGGGGACAAGGGACAGAGGGTCAGCACATGATACCCAAGGAACAAGATGTGGACAAACTGCTTGAAGGTGCACAAAGCTGAGAGGCTGCTGGTCTGCCTAGGGAGCCTCTTTCCCTCCTTGCAGCTGATGCTGGCTCCTCAAGAGGCGTTCCTCTGAGCAGGGAAACAACCTTGCCCTGGAGCTTTCCCCATGGGCATGTGGCACATCAGGTCCCAGGTCCCCTGATATCTCCTCTCCCCGCTGCAGGCACGTGCCTCCATGCAGGCAGAGATGGTCCTGAAGGAAGAGGAGGCTGAGCGTCAGCGTAAGCGCATCATGGAATTGGAGGAGATGCAGGAGCGGCTCCAGGAGGCCCTGCAACAGGAGGTGAAAGCACGGCACGACGAGGAGTCCGTGAGATACGCACAGGCCAGGTAGGAGCAGAGCCTCCCTGCATATTTTCCACCTGCTCCCAGAGGCAGGGCTGTCAGAGATGCTCCCCGGGGTGATTCAGCTGTCCTCAATTGCTCCCTGGGGAGCCAGCATGCTTCCGATGCCAGAAGGAATGTGGGGAGCTGATGGATGAAGTGGCAGAGCGATGTCCTCATGTTGTGCACTTTCTTGGCAGGCTACTGGCTGAGGAAGAGGAGAAGCTGAAGCAGCTAATGAAACTGAAGGAGGAGCAGGAGGAATACATCATCAAAACTCAGCTGGAGAAGCAAGTCCTCAAGCAGGAGATGGAGAACAAGAACAAGTGTCTGGAAGAGGCCCAGAAGCAGCTGGAAGAAGTGAGAGTGAACAGGCAGCGGGTGGACCAAGACGTCATGGTGAGCATCACCCTAGTGCCTCTTCCTATCACACTGGAAGACCCAGGGGACTTTCCAGGCCTCCCCTGAGTCACCTCCATGCTGGAGAGAACCTGGAGACCTGCTGTCACACAACCTGCTGCAGCCAGGCTGGGTTTCAGGGTTACATCAGCTGCAGCAGGGAGAGGAGATCTAAGGTTTGCTCCTGAAGGTTTGCAGAGCTGTGCCAGGCTGGTGATCAGCTCACAAAGCCACTGAAGCAGGGAAGAGGCTGTGGCCGCTCTGCCCCCCATTTTGCTGCACTGGCAGATGCTATTTTGAGAAGTCTGCTGATGGGGTGGGTGCTGGAGAAAATGCTGGCATTTCCTCACTGCAGAGCTCTGGGTTTTTCTGAGCTGTGCCATAGGGTGATTTGTTGGCCCTTGGCATGTCCCTAAGAGGGCAGCAATGTCAGACCTGGGAACATGTGGAGCAGGGAGGGCTGGGAGCAGGAGGAGCAGAAGACCCAAAGGAGGGTGTGCTGCCTCCATCCTAGAGGGAGCCTCCAGCCCAGGTTCAGGGAAGAGAAACTCCTGCCAGTGGTGCTGTGCCCACCTCTGCTCTGTCTCTTTGCAGGCAGCCCAGCGGAAGCTGCGGCAGGCCAGCACCAACGTCAAGCACTGGAATGTGCAGATGAACCGCCTGATGCACCCCATCGAGCCAGGAGGTAGGAGACCTTCCCCATGGCACGCAGCTCAGTGCTGCTGCTGGTTCTCCTGTCCTGTCATTTCTTTGGGACACTCAGAGAAGACAGACAATTTTTTTTTCTTTTTAATCTGTTTCCAGACAAACGTACAAACATGAGTGGAGGAGGCTTTGCTGGCTACCCACCCCTCATGTGCCGGAGAGATTCTTCCCTCAAACTCAAGCAGAAAGTAGAGGATAAAGGCAGTGATCCCATGAGGGAAAGCAGCAAAGAGAACGTGAGCAATGGTGGGAGCAGCAGCCCACTGCCGTCTTCAGATGCAGACACCATGGCCACAGAGCCCTCCAACCAGTAGCAGGATAGCAGAGCCCAGCAGGGAGCTGCAGGGCCCAGCAGGCCTGGTCAGCACAGTCATCTCAGGTTGGAGACCAGCAGAGACCAGCACCAAGCCTATAGGTGACTGACTACATGTAGAGCAGAGATGCTCCATGCTGCAGCCACAATGTGCCAAGAACTCAGCCCAACATCAGGAGAAGGCAGCAGGGCCATTTTCTCCTCTGGGCTGCCCAGGTGTGGGGTCTGGATTCACCTCCCTGCACACCAGACACTGCCTCAAGATGCCACCAGTGGATCTGGACTGTGGCCCAGGACTGCCATTCCCCCTTGGTTTCTACTGGCTGTGCCCGCAGCATCATCCACTGTGTCCTTGGACATGTCCTGAAAAGGGGCCTCCAGGGCAGCTTTGGGGCCTGAGCAGTGCCTTCTCACTACCCCCACACAAAGGGCACTTCTGGCAATGACCAAGATGTCCTTAACTACATGTGCATTCCCTGAAGGTGGTTGTTAAGTCACTGGAGTCACATAGATGTCAATATAAACCAAGAAGTAGTAAAGCTTTTGGAGCCACTGGCCCATAAATCTTATTCCCTGCACATCTGTGGCCCTGCAGGAACCCAACTTGCTTCAGGTGCAATGGACAGTTTGGATTCCCACCACAGGAAAGAGCCCAACCAATGAAAACTGACCCAGTGGAGTGTGGTTTGGTTTAGGAGGGTCAAGAGGGACAGAGAAGTGTCTGTAGATGATGAATTGCAACGGGTATCCTCTGGGAGGGCCAGCACCTCCTTATAATTAATTTATAGGAAGGGAACGGTGCTCTGGACTAATGTCCTCACCCTTGAATTGCAGGAGTCCCTTTTCAGAGTCCCACTTCAGGTCCAGTCCAAGGCCCTGCAGAAGGCAGTAGAAAGAATTCCCAAGGCAGCAGGGCTGGCCCTGCTCTGGCAGCAGGTGGATGTGTCAGCTCCCTTCAGTGACATCAGCCTGGTCTGCCTCCTTCAATTAATTTGTTCCCTAAAAGATGAGAACAAAAGCCAAAAGTCTTCTGGCCAACCTCCTTGCACACAAAAAAAGCCCACAAACATGGAGTTTCATTTTTTCAAGTCCCTCTGTTAAATACAGTCCTATTTGTGACTTTGGGCACCTTACTGTCTGGGCACAGAGTACCATAAAGGCTCCTTCTGAAAACACACCATTAGCAAGCCCTGCACCAAACCCAGGTTCACAGTAGCTCATGATGCAGTTTAACTGCAGTTCGTTAGAGAGATTGCAATCTATTTCCTACTGGCACAGCTTTGAGCGGTTGCTCACAGAGCTCTTCCTCCCCCCTGGTTTTTACAGTGCTCTTTTCTTACAGTTAGTTTCACAGAGAGGCTGTGTTTGTAGGCCCATGTGCATGACGTGGCTGCCCCCGTACAAAGCAGCTCTGTGTATCTGTGGGGGTGCCCAGTGGCCCCGTGCCCCAGTCCCACGCAGCACAGAGGGGGCATGGGTGGCTGCAGCCTTCGTGGTGACAGTCTCAGGGACCTGTCCTGCCAGCCAGGGGCTGTGGCAAGTCAAATGTGTCACCTCTCCTCCTCCTCACTGTGCTGGGTACTATGGGATATTGTAAGGGGTTGGGATGTTGAGCAGTGCTGTATGGCCGTGACAACCCTACACAGTCTCCAGGCAGACCTGGAGTCTCTGCCTGGCTCTGATATGACAGTGCCACACCAGCATTCCATGTGAGCACAGGGTCTCTCCACTCCACATGCTTTCTGGTAGAGCAGGACCTTCACAACACATCATACCTCTGGGTACAACACCATTTCTTGCATCAAGGTGTAGCACTGATCCCTGCAGCTCCCCAGGTGACCCCAGCACAGCAGTTGCAGCCCCATGAGACCCTCAGGCAGAGGGAGGAACCAGGAGTGTGCAACTGGGAAGGAAATGGGCTGGGTGGAAATGTGCTGATGGGAGGCAGCACTATCCTTCATCAGCCCATTAGCTCAACCTTTTCCCTGATTAGTGTTGGGATTGGTGCCATGCCACACCTATGCCAGGAGGAAAAAAGCCACCTCCACACAACCTCAGCTTTGTCAGAAGGGCTCTATGACCCTAGGAGGCATGCGGGGGTGACCGTGCCATCACCTCTCACCAGCTCTAGGGCTGCACCAATTTTCTTTAAAAGCAACTCATCAGAACGTCGCTTCTGCTCTGAACAGCCTAGTTCCTGTGCAGCAGAATTAATGCTACGAGGACAGGCGTGGAGGGAAAGTCAGGTTCCAGTGTCAGCACTGCCTTTGGTCGGCTGCCAAGCTGTGAGCAGCCAGGCCTGTCCCATCCTTCAGGAGCAGCAACCTGCCTGAGTCAGCAGCAGGCGTGCAGTGTTGGGGATGTGCACCAGCACCTCACCCGAAGGATAAACTCCTGTAAAAAGGTTGCAGGGAGGCCCTCGCTACAAGAAAGACATCGAAGCCCTGGAGCACGTCCAGAGAATGGCAAGGCAGCTGTGAAGGGTCTGGAGCACAAATCTTACAAGCGGCTGAGGGAACTGGGATTTAGTCTGGAAGAAGCTCAGGAGAGACTGTATAGCTCTCTGTAACTCCCCGACAGCAGTGCCAGGCCTGTTCTTAATTGCGGTTACATCTCATTAATGAGGGGCATCATCGACCACAGCAGGAACGGAGCCTGTGCTTTAAAACACAACACCACTGATCCCATCAGTCAGCACTGTGGTTTACCCAAGGCATGAGGGCGTAAGCTCAGCCCAGTCTAAGACCTTTAAGCACAGTATAAGAGCAGAAAGAGAGGGAGGTGCTGGGGAGCGGCAGGGAAGCCCCACAGCTCCCCACGCCAGGCGCCCACCCCACCGCCATTTTGCGCCTCCACCCCTCCCTCTTTACTTCGCGCGCCCCGCGGGCAGCGCCTACATTTCCCACGATGCCCCGCGCCTTCACGCGAGAAGGAGATGTGCGTCCTGAACCCGCCAGGGGGCGCCGTGCGACAGAGAGGGGCGGGGCGGGCTTGGGGCCGTTGCCGTGGTGACGCGGTACTCACTTCCGGGCGGCTCCGATTGGCTGCGGGGCGCTGGGAATGCGGTGGCGTCAGGGCGGGCGCGGTGACGTGAGGCTGCGGGGCGCAGCGGCGGCGGCAGAGGCAGAGCTGCGGGACGGGAGCGGGGCCGTCACGGGAGGTGAGAACAGGGCGGGGGGATCACGGGGCGGGAGAAGCGCGGAGGGGCGTGGGGATGCGGTGTGGGGTGGGGATGCGGTGTGGGGTGCTGTGAGCACGTGGGGTTGGGGGGCTGTGGGGTGGCGGGGGGAGTGGGGCTGTGGGTGGGGAGGTGTGTGCGCAGCGGGGGCATCCTGAGAGCTACGTGAAGGGCTGGGACGGCTTGCTGAGGGCTCCCTGAGGGATGGGGGCTCTCTGAGGGGTGGGGGCAGTGGGGTGGAGGCGTTAATGAGGGTGCAGGTGCTCCTTGCAGTGGGGATGCGGCCGGGGACAGGCGTGTCCCCAAAGGTGGGTGGCTTCAGGGGATCTCCGAGGTGCTGTGCTGGGGGGTGGGCAGGAAGGAGAAGCAAAAGGATGGGGATCGAGGAACGTTTGGGTTTTGTGTTGAGGGACGTGGTTTAGTGAGGGCTGTTGGCGATAGGTGGATGGTTGGACCGGGTGATCTTGAAGGTCTTTTCCAACCTTGGTGATTCTGTGATGGCCTTCCCCAGGGGCTCTCCCAGGCAGCTTTGTTGGCCACTGAGGTAGGGAAGCAGGGGTACCGTCCTTCATGCTGCTCCCTGTGACTTTCTGCAGTGATGGGGTAAAGGACTGCCACCTTCATCCATGCGGGCTGTAGACCAGGCAGTCCCTGCTGGGCTGCTCCCTCCCCCAGGTGGGCTCTGCCCTGTGGTGGCACCAGCTCTGCTGACTGGGTGGACTGGAGCTTTTAACGAGCTTGAGAAGCACTTGTAAAAAGTCCCAGGTGAAAGGTAAAGCAGTGTGCAGAGGCAGGGCCTCTGAACGTGATTTTCTTTCACCTCCCACTTCCCTCTTTTGTTTTTTATTTCCAACCTGCTGTGTTTTTTTCCCCTCTTTGTTGGCCACCTCCAAGATTTGTCATCACAAGCAACGAGGATCCTGCTTTTGCATTGGACTGTTTTGACCTCTCTTTTTTATTTTTTTTTATTTTTTTGTATGTGTGGTCAAAATGCCTTCTGGCCTTATTATACTTTCAAAGGTTTCTGTGTGCTGACTCCACCTCAGATGATGCTTAACTGCCTGATTTGTTTATGGGACTCCAGCTTATTTACACAAGGCAATGAATTAGGCCTCACAAAATATTTATGAGGTAGGTGTGTTGTGCTGTAGTGCCCCTGGATGGGAAATCAGGACACAGAGAGGCTCAATGGCTGAAGGTGCAGCTTGGAGCAGAGAGCAGACCAACCCTGTGCAATGATGCTCACAGCATCTGCTGGCCATCAGCTGCATTGTCTAGGAACTTCAAACCCAGTGTGGTTTCCTCTTTCCAGGCAGCTTTGGCCCTCTTCCCTCCAGCAGCTGGGCCAGGAGGCTTCATGCTTACTCACATGCTAGGACAGCCCTGTGTGAGGGGCTGAAGATTTACAGTGCAGGAGGACTGAAGGTGCAAGCTGGTCACCCTTGTACATCAGCCCATGTTGTACTTCTAGTTTTTGGTCTCCTCAGAAGTCTCATTGTGCAAACTCCTGTGCTGCCTTCGGGAGAATCCCTTTCCCTGGCTGACAGAAACGTGTTGGGTGTGAGTTTTCCTTGTGACTTATCAGCCAAGACTGCAGGAGGAAGCTTTCAGGATCGATGTGCTGGCAGCTCCCTCTGCACCCTGCTGAGCTGGTGCAAGTAGTGCATTGTGCATGCTGTGCTGGGCATGCCCTGGCACTTACCTGCGAGCAGCACAAGGTGAGCTGGTGATTTAGTCTTAATGCTCAGATCTCTGGCAGCAGCAGTGAGCGCTCTGCCCTGTGCTGGGGGCAAGACCAGGGTGTGATTTGTGCACTCTGTACATGATTCATGTGTTGGTTAACACTGTCAACTTTGTTACCGAGTCAGGGATGGGTTTTACTGCTGGTGGAAATGAAGTAAGCCAGCTCCTGATGTGCCAGTGGGGATGTAATGACTTTATTACCTTTCCTCATCAGGAAGTTAATGAAGAACATTGTCTTGATGTTTGGTGGGAAAAACCACCTTCTGTTTTTGGGGTGGGATTTGAAGCCTGCTGCAGCCATAGCATTCTGCTGTGGCCGTGGAGCTGTGGTGGGTGCTTGACAGCCCTGCTGGAGCAGAGGGCTGGCTGCTGGACCTGTGCCCTTCCCCTGGTGACATCTGCATGTGTGCAGCACCATTGTCCCACAGCCTCTCCCTGCAGAGCAGGGGCAATCGCGTGCTTCAAAGGGGCTGATCTTTGTATTATCTGTACTTTTATATTACTGCAAATAAGAGAGACTGTGTTGGGACTGACACTCTGCTCCAAGGGACAGGGATTATTCTCCAGGCTTGTGCCCTCCCCTGGATGTGCCTGGTGCTGATCAGCCTGCTCCATGCCCACACTGTAAGCCTCTCCAAGAGCACAACGAATTGTTGCTTTGGCTTTTGGGACAGATTTGCTTCTTCCTTGGCGTTGTCCTGAGTATCTGTAATTCCTGGTGCCTGTTGGAGCTGGGAGGTAGGTGCAGGAGAGACTGCAGCCTGAGGTGAGATCTGCTCCCTGCCCTGCAATTGCAGCAGGGTGCGGGTGTGGGATCAGTGCTGGGCTGCCTCGGGGGCTTGCTGCTGCTGGAAGGGGCAGTGCTGCAGAACGGGGCTTTTCCATCAGGGTGGGAGGAGCAGCTAAGCCTGTGCAATGTCAGGGAGGGTTCAAGTAGCATCATGTTCACAGCATCTTTGTTTAATGTTAGTCCAGTTAGTCTGCATAACTGTGTCTAAAAATAGAGCATATTTTCTGTAAGTCCTCTGGTTCAAAGTCTCCAAGACTTTTTTTTTTCTTTTTTTTTTTTTTTTTTTCCCCCCCCCAGCAGTGGTCTCTTACAGCTCTCCTGTGCCTGCGGTTATTTGCAACACTATCAGGAAAACCAAGAGGGGTGAACTCTGGTAAATCCTTAAGTTTCAAGAACCGGAGAGGTTCATTAAAGTTGCAGTAACTTTCATGCAGCCTCCCAAGGAGGTCAAGAAAGCAAACCACCTCATGGTCGTAGCAGACCTTTTCAATGAGCTCTGTGTTTTAACCTCAACTTTGCACACGGTCACAAAAATTGGGGGGTAATGGAGCTGCAAATGTGGCCAGCACAAGGAAAAGGCGGCATACTGGCTGGGAGGAACTCACCCCAGCAAGTGGCTGCGGCGTGCAGCAGAGGGAGTGTGTGTTTAAATTTCAGAGACGTCGCTGGATCTGTCCCAGTCCTCCCAGCAGCATAAATATCTGGCCTTCAGCACAGCTGTGGAAATCCGTGTTGTGTTCTCTTGCAGATCACTTTGGTCCCCAGCTCTCCATGCTGACATGGTAACGGAACGGCGGCTCTCAGCGGCTGGCAGGCAGGGACAGCTGCGGAGAGGTAACCTTTCCCTTCTGCCTTCAGATCTGTGAAAGCACACTGCTTATTTTTGTTAAAACTTGGGGTAGGGAAGAGCCGAGGAAGAGATTTCAGCAAGTTTCACTTCTCCCCGCGAGCAGAGACATTCTTAAGCTGCTTCTTAATTCTAAATCCTGTGCCTTAGTTTTTGCTCAGTTTCTGAATGTGATCTTTCTGGATTCTGCTTAGGAGGGTGCTTTAAGTATTGTGGTCTAACCCTGTTCCTCCGAGCCAACAGCTGCTTTCGAAGTATAACAATGTTTGGTTACTTCATGGATTTTACAACTGAAATTGCCTCTTCTAAATTGGAGAGGACTGTACTTAGGTAAATGATCACCTACCTATCGCCCACGCGATCTGGCACTGATGTTGACAACATCTATTACTACATGACTGCCTTACCCAGGCAAAACTGAGAGGGTTATTACTGTTTCAGCCCTGCAGTAGAGGACGTGGCTCAGACTCCAGTCCTGCCCTTGGTGATGCTGAAGTTCCTTGGGATGGTTGCCTGCATGTAGCTGCTGTCTGTGCTGTGGGGGTGGGTTTATTTCTGCCACAGCACACATCTGACGTATTCAGCTGGACAGAGATGGGGCTAAGTTATAAAATGTCTCTTAAAGTTTATGCAACTGTTCTGCTCTCTCAGTCCTGGCATTTGGAACATGGACTTCCAAGGAACTTTGCAGTATATGGAGAGGATTTTGTAATGAGCCACATGAGGCTGTGTTGATCAGGGAAGCATTGTTGTGCAGAATTGCTTGCTGATGTTAATGGTCTCCTTCTCTTGAGAGTGTTGACTGTTGACAAATCTGTACTTTTGTACAGTACATCTTGTTGTGTTTGGAGGAATGTTTCTGCTGTGGCTTTTCAATTATGAACTGCAAGTCTACTGTATTCTTAGAGACTAAGAGATTGGCACAGTAAGGGGCTCAGCTTCCTTCAGGCAGCAGGAGCTGACAGGGAAGTGATTTCTAATCAGGTGCGATGCTGTTCGAGTGCTTATGGCTCAGAGATTATTTGCTGCTGAAACACAGTCAGGCTTGCCCTCAATATGGAATTTCAGGGGTGTGGGCTTGTTTGTGGTTTGTGTTGGCTGCCATGGGTCTGTCAGGCTCCGTAGCTGCTTTTGCATAAGGTGCTGCAGAGAAGTATTTTTTAAAATTTATTTATTTATTTATTTATTTATTTATTTAAGAGTTATCAATGTTCAGAGATGCTACTTGTCACTGTTGCAAAAATTTTTGAGACTCTGGCAAAGTCAAGACAGGCACAAGTGATTTCCATAGTGAGTACAAATGGGATTCTTCAGTAAGGAGCTATTTTATTTCTTTAATCTTATACTCTAGAACACATTTGCATTGGCAGAATTCCTAGGAAGTTACTTTTCATAGAGTGTGGCAATTGATGCCAGTATGAACCTTGTAGATCCAGGAATGAATGGTTTTCGATGGACTGCTGCCTGACTGCAAGAACTGTATGGAGCAGAACTGATTTGAGATGGGTCTTAATTTCCAGTAATGCTCTAAAATTACTGTTGTAATCAGAATGTCTGACACGTGTCTGTGTCCTTCAAGAGCTTGTGAACGTGAACATCACAAGGGGTCAGGTATGTGCTGGGGTGCTACCCTGGGGATCCCCCCAATAGATCCTGCTCAAAAGGCAAATCTGAGGCTGCAGTTTGCAGGGAATCCTGACCTGACAGAGGTGTTAAGATGAAAACACAAGTAGAAACACGTTGCTCCTGTTGCTGGGTTCTCACCAGGGCATCTTTCTGGCTTGTCGACAGCACCAGCCAGATGATGCTTGTGTTAACCAGAAACAGTGCCCTCGTACTCTGTTTTTCTGGTTTGTCCCCATCTGTGAATTGGAACTCTGCATAGGAGAAGACAGAGCATGCAAGTTCAACCCAATGACATATGGAATGGAGATAGGGAATAGATATGATGGTTTATAAGGGCAGATGACCTTTCTTATCTAAGCTGATAGGGAAGTTTTGGGTTTTTTCTGGTGATCTGTTAAGGCAAACTTTGCTCTGAATCATACTGCTGGTAGTAAATGTCTCACTAGGAAAGGTATTGTCAGGCTGAAGTGGAAACGGGTGAGATGCATCACCTCAGTGCTGCTCAAGTTTCTATCCTGTCTCATGTTTTTGTTTTTAATGCAAGTCTTCATTTCATCTGAATGCAAATCTGAAATATGCCTTGAAGTACCTAAAATTGTTCTTAACACTATGCTAATTTTTGTGGATTTTACCAGAGCTGTGGGACCATGGAAGCTGTCAACCATGTGAGAGCTGATGTAAAAAGTCCATGGGTTCTCACGTCTCTGGGGAGGGGGTACTGTGTGACTTAGGGACATCAGAAAAGAGCTGATGGTGTGCATGCAGAAGTGTGGGGTTGGAGCTGGGAGGTCCTGGGAGCTCACTGGGCTCTCAGTGGTGAGGGTATTATGAAAGGTGCTGATGCTTTGCTCCAGTGTTTTGTTCTCTAGGGGCCGAGGCAGAAGTCCAAGCAGTCAGGAGCATGCTGAGATCCTCTCCTTGGCAGGGGTCACTGATCCTATCGGAACTTCTGCTCCTCCCTCAGCTCTTGCTACACAGAGCGTAGCCAAAAATAGTAAGGAAACATCTCTCTTCCAGATCTCTGAGAGGGTGTTGAACTAGTTTGTGCAACAAAGTTATTTTCATGCTCTCTGGATGCAGTCAAACTCAGGTTTGCTCTTTCTCTCCCTTTCTGTGGTTGAAGGGGAGATGAAGTGAGTGTGGCGATTTGTTCCAACCATTTCGGTGTGGACGTTCCCAGGCTGTGCTGAATCATCTGAACCCGTGCCTGGGCATAATCACTCACTGTCAGCTGTGTCCTGGGATCAGGGCTGCATGCCGAGTGCTCAGGATATTTTGCTACGGTCTACAAAATATGTAGTGCATTGCTGGGAGTCCAAGTGTAAGCATAGCGAGCTTACAGGCTGGTAGCTTTAGCACAGGGGATCTCAGTCACTGCAGAAAGGTTTGATCATATTTTTGTGGCTGGTTTCCTGGATTTGGGAGTACTGGCTGCCTGGTTTTAGGTCTTGCTGGCCTGCTTGATATTTGGCTCCAGCCAAATTTGGCTCCAGTGACTCAGAGAAATACAGCAGCAGGTCACTGCTCTGTTTTCCCGTTGCTTTTCCAGTGGTCTGATTGCCCTGTGAGGACACTCACTGGTGTCCCAGTGACACAGAAGCTTTGAGGGAAACCATGCCATATTCTGACAGTAATGCTGCCACAGGGCAGCCACACGCACTGCCACCCAGTGCTCCCACAGATACCTGCTTCTTGACTCTGGAGTTTGCAGTGGCAGCTTGCTGCACGTACTGCTTTCCTGGTTTTCCCTTTAAGTGCAGTTCTGAGCTTGTGCCTGTTGTTTGCCTTGGGAACCTCACTGCTGTTCCTGCGAGCTCCTCCCGTCAGCTCTGTTCTATAATTACTGGTGTTCTTGAAACCAGATCCTCCCACGTGGCCTGCTGTGGATCGGTGGACGAGGGGTCTGTAAGCAAAGCCAGCACCTTGGAGCAATGTGCAGCAGAACTCGGAGGTTCAGGGAGTGATGGCTTTATTTCCCTTTGGGGTGGTGAAGGGGGATGTTTCCAGACAGCTTCTTGGGCACTTCCAGAGGTGAAGCAGGGATGTAAAAGCAAGCCTGATGCTGGGCACTGGCTCTACACTGACAGCAGGATGAGCATGTGGGATCAGGATACCACACATCCTGACACAGCCTCACAAGCTGCCTTGTGTCCTTCCCAATACTGGAAGTGGTTTGAGCTCAATGCAGTGTGCCCAAAGCATTGTCTTCCTGTAGCACGTAGCCTCCAGAGGACAGCAGAGCCTTCTTCCCTGGCAGCCTATTCATGCAGCGTGGAGCAAGCTTGTTTTGCAGTGCTTGTATAGGCATGCTGCAGCCAAGCTGCTCACCCAGCTGAGAGCAGCACGCCATCCCACGGCCAACATGCCCACAGGCAGCCAGGCAATTCACTGCCCAGCATCACAGGACAGGTCATGTCACCTCTGCTGTGCTGTGGTGTCAATGGGGATGGTCCTCTCTCATTACCAGACTTAATGATCTTCTCAAATGACAACACATCTATGCAGTTTCCAGCGCTGAGAAGGTGTCACCTTTCTGGTAGCTGTTTGTTTCCTGGCTGTGCTCCTCGTCCCATCAGTCAGCCACACACATCCCCTGCCCACTCTGGGCTGTCCTGAGTTGACAGCAAAACACAAATATCAGTTGGCGGTTTCCAGCGTGAGACTTGGCAGTTTACTTGCTGAAAGTAATCCTGGAAACATTTCATATGGGAATGTGCAGCCAGAGGAGACAGTCACGAGCAGCGTGGCGTACTGACCTGGGGCAGGCGAGGCTTGCGAGCGTGACTGGGAACAGGTGTCCAAATCCATAATATGGGAACAAACAATGACACTTGGCATTGAGGTCCAAAACATGACGTCTCTGTGAGCTAATGCAGCAAGGAAAGGACAAGGAAGGAAGCACTACAAAACTTAATTATTTTTATTTTTGATGATGAAGGAAATGGAGGTATGGGAGTTGACAGGATTTGCTGCAGGTCACAAAGCAGAACTTTGGATAAGAGCTGGTGAGTGTTCAGCTCTTTGCTGCCCATCCTACTGCCACCCCTTTTGCAAAAGGGAGCTGTGGAACTCCAAGGCTGAAGAGGGCAAGCAGATGAGCTGTGTAGGGACAATCTCTGTAGAAGCATGAACTCATCCAGTATGTGCCATCTACAGGTTTCGCAGCACATCAGATGTGTCCTGGAGCCCCTGGAACAAGAGATATCTTTGCAGTTTCTGGAAGGTGAATTGAAAGGAAAGAGCAGCTCCTCCTGCAGGTCCTGCCCTCCAAAAAAACCCAGCACTACTGAGAAAGCAGGAAGTTCCTTTTAGAGTGCATTGACCTGGTTTTGGGGACAGCTGTGATGCAAAAAGAGAAGAATCCAGTGAGTTTCACAACTCTTTGACTTATTTCTCTTCCTCAGTATCCAGGAAATGGATGAGTTGTAGCATGTGGCTGATGTGTGATTCATTGGCAAGTCTGGCAGCTTGAGGCAAGCAGGGGAATCTCCTGTACTCCTTTGTCATATGTTGTTGAGTAATTAGCAGCAACACAGTAATAGCAGCTCAGGCAGCACCTGATGCTTAGCTGGCTGGGTTATACTTGGTGAAAAGGAGACAGCAGCAGTGGAGGAAAGGACAAGGAGTGGACATCCATGGTGATGGGGCAGATGCTTTCTCTGCCTCCAGTCATTTATTCCTGCATGGAGCCTGCCTTGCAGGCAAGGCTTCTGAGTGAGGGAGGAAACACTTAAGTAGCAAGTGCTGCTGGGATCTCATTAGCTAATGAGGAGGTGTGCTGATCTTTCAGGAACAAAAAACAAACATGTTTTCAATGGTTGCGTGTCCTGGTTTTCTGCACTTGGTTACCTTTCCTGTGTTGCAGCATCTGCTTAGCTCTTATTTGTTTTTTATTAGCAGTAGATGACGTGAAGGAGGAGGAACAGAAACTGGTACTTGATCAGTAGATTTCGGAAGTGGTGACACAATCCAAGGGATGTCTGCAAATAATGGCCAATAGGAGGCAACCAGTTTTTTTTTAATGGAAATCAGTTTTTTGGTGTGTGTATTCAGTATGGGCTCCATCTGAGAAAACGCTCCCATACAGTGCTGAATGCACAATCAACAGGATGTGCATTTGGATGAATTTGTTTTCATTTTTTTCTCCAAATGAGCACAAAGAGATGCTTCCATGGTGAATTGGTTTCCTTTCATGGCTCCCCATGACCTCCTTTACGGTAACTCAAACAACTGTTGGAGCAGGTTGACATTGTGAGCTGTCTCTTGGGAGGCCTGGGCCATTTCTAGCACTTTCCTTTGCCTGGAAGCTTCCATCTTCCAAGCAGGAGATGCACGTGGTGACACTGCAGCATGCAGTGGGGGCTGGACATGGAGCTGCCTCCAACCCTGTCTGTATAAGAAACAACTGTGCCCTCCCCTGGAGGGGGGGTAGGGGTAGGAGAGTTCTCTCCATCACAGTGAGCACACTGAGGTTGCTTCTTTTTGGAGCTCACCCTCAGCAAATCTACATCTGCTTTAAAGATGAAGTCCTTCTAATTATGAGCTCTTCATTGTTTTAATTTGGTGGCTGCCAGCCCCTCAGTGTCTGTGCTTGAATGCATGTCTGCTCCTGGTGGTGCTGAGCTCTGTGTTCAGTGCTGTAGTAGCGATGAGGAACTGGGCTGCTCTGTCACATCCCTTGCAGCCCTCCTGCACACCCTGCAGGGCAGTGGGCACTTCTCACACCCTAAAATGCCTGGGCTGCTGGCATTGAGTGGGGAAGGAGCTCCTGGAGATGAGAAGGATCCTTTGGGCATCCACTGCCCTCCACACAGCCATCCCTGGTGTTACCCCTTGGAGATGTGCAGGGTCCCCTACTATCTCTCTGTACTCTCAGAGGGATGGAGCTCAGCCACTCTGCTCTGAACCAGGGGGCCTGCAGGGAGGCAGCACGTCCCCTTTGTGCTCATGGCTGCTGCTGTGTGATCCTCTGCAAACACTTTCTGCCCCCAGAGGCTCACCTTTGTTGGGGCTGGCAGGAGGGGATCTCCCCAGTGCCTGGGACTGAATGAAGCATCCTGGAGGCTGGCACAGTTCTCTGTTCTCTCTGCACGTGCCGGAAGAATCCAGCGCTAAATGGAGTCAAAGAAGCTGTTGCACTGATTTTAATCAAGCCAGTGCTGGCTTGTTCTTTACACTCTACTCAATCCTTCAGCTGAAAGAAAATAAGGGCTTGGAAGTCTCTGTGTGCGGCTGCTGCCTCCACTCCCAAAGTCAGAGGGCCTGGGGTCTGCACATCCCCTGCAGCAACAAAGGGCCCAGCATCTTGCTGCATGGGCACAATCCTGCTGCCTTTCATCTGCTGAAAGTTTGGCTGAAATTAATGCCTCCCCCATCCCTCTATTTCCCTTGTTTGGAAAACAGGGGAAGGGCTCAGGGAAAGGCAGGTGTGCAAACAGCTCCCGCAGCTCCCCTCTGCTCTTGGCCTGCAAGAAGATATTAAAACAATACGTTCAGAGCTTTCTGGTAAAAGCTTTTCTCTCTCCATGGGTGAGATACGTATCCTTGTCTTGCCCTCACTGACATGGGACATCCCTGCTGGAGTCTGCCTTTGCTATCAGATGAGTCCTGCCCTCTATTCTCCCACACCCCTGGGGTTTGCACAGCCATCTGCAGCAAGACCAACTCTGAGCACAGCCTTGGAGTTGCTTTGGTGGTTTTGGGGAGCTTGCTGCTGCCCAGGAGTGCAAGGTCCTGCATAGACCTCCTTCTACCATCCTACCCTACCGACTGCTGTTCCAGACAAAAAGCATTTTCATGATGTGTGTGCATTTATTAATATATAGACTTTGAACAGATACAGCTTGTTATCCCCCATCTCCAGCAAATAGGTTTTCCTGCCTGTGTGTGTGCCCTACTGTGCAAGTGGAGGCCAAGGACAACACAGCCCTGAATGGTTGCTCAGCCCTGCCCAGGAGGCACAGGCAGGGAGCACAGCACTTCTGTACTTCTGTAAGCCCTGTATCCTTTTGCTGCTCCCAGCATAGCTGTGGATAACACCACAGTCCCAGTTCCTTGACACAGTGCTGTCCCCACAGCTCTGAACTCCTGGTACACAGGGGAGAAGCGAGCAGTGGACCCAGGTTGTGTTCTGGCACCAGCTCTTGGGGTGCCTGGCAGCTAGCTTTGCAGCATGCTGACATTCAGCTTCCCCTCTGCAGGTTTTGTCCTCCCCCTTGGCACTGGCTGCTGCTCGCCAATCTGACCTTGTTCAATGCTGACAGCTTCCCAAGGAGCTGGCTGCAGCACAAGTGCCAGTTGCTGGGAACAGGGATGCTGCAGGAGGGCGAAGTAGCCCAGGGAGCCCTAAGCCACCAGGACCTGTTTGCTCATGGGTTGCCCTTGTGCAAGTCCTCTGCAAGCAAGGTGCATGCTTTAGTGCATGAAGATGCTAGCAGTTTAACTGGAGCCTGGGATTTGGGGCTGTCCTGGGGAAAGCTGGATGTCAGTGGCTTGTTTGATGGAAATAGAGCATCTGGATTCTCTACCTTAAAATAACTCATTTATGGAAATGGCTGCATTCTGTGTAGAACAGGCTTCAGGCATTAATTGCTGGAGCAAGACTCGGTGCAGGGGTTGAGATCTGGAGGCTGGGATGTGGGCACTGAGCTGGGCACTGGGAACAGCACCAGCAGCTGTCGCCCAGCAGGGCTGAGATGGATGACTACAAAGAGGGAGAGGAAACACAGGGAGAAGGGGCCCGCACTGATCCTCCCACAGGAAACCCTGGATTAGGACATGGGCTGGGTTGTGCAGCCAGACCCATGGCTGAGCACAGCCCCGCAGCTGTACGAGCAGCAGCAGCATGCTCTGCTGAATGGCTCTTGGCAGAGGAGCCGGGGCTGGTTACAACACGAGTGAAAATAAACACCACTGCTGTAACGGGAAGGAGTGGGAGAGCAGGAGCTGGCAGGAAGCTGTCGCTCTCCCAGTATGGGGCTGGGGCTTGTAGACCCAGAGCCCTGCTTGTGCCCCCTGCAGCCGCTGCGCTGAGGACAGAGTGGAGCTCAGCTCTGTGCTGGCAGCTGCAGTGTGTGCTATCTGAACCCTTCTGGTAGTCCTGGCTGTGCCAAACCCCATCCTTGGCTGCCACTGTGACAGCACGGGGTGCTGCTGGCTGCAGGGGACGTTGCCCAGGGCAGTGCTTCTGCTGTGGGATCTGCAGGGTGGGGAGTGCTGGCCTCTGGGTTGTGGGCTGGTTGATGTCCTGGGATCAGTCAGCTAGGCTTTAAACACAATTCCAGCAAAGCGGCCTTTAAGGAGACCCAGGGTCTGCTTGTCACCATGGATAAGGACATGAAGCAAAGCAGGATGGCGGGGCTGCTCCCCTGACATGCCTCTCCCTCTGCCTGCAGGCTAGTGCAACTGGCAGGGTCCATCTCGGATAGATGCAGATGATGCCAGAGCTATGACAGGGATTGCAGTCCTGGCACTGAGGGGTGATCAGTTATGGAACAACTACAGGAGGAAGTACCTGAGGTCAGGGAAGAGGAGGAGGAAGAGGAAGAGGCAGTGACAGTGCCCAGCGGAGCCTCGGACCCAAGTTTAGGACCAGACAGCTCGCTGCCCTCGAGCAGCTACACCGGTGAGTAGAGCCACATCCCCCACAGTCACAGAGAAGGGCCTGCACGTGGACAGAGCTGGGCTTCTGGTGGTCTCATGCAATAATTCATTGAGGGCCAAAGCATGGAGGAATGTATTTCTTCCTCTGCAGTCACCACACAGCTGGTGGCAGTGGGTTGGGAGATGGAAATAGAGCCAGGAAGGGGGGAAGGCTGTGCCCCAGAGTGTGCATATTGAAGAGGGGAGGGCTCCCAGGGTGCTAAGAACCATTCTTTGTCTGCTTCTTGAAATCCTCAGTGCAAACGGATCGTATGAGTTATGCTAGCTACGCTGCAAAACTTGTGGAGAGGTTTCACTGCCTAAAATTAAGCTCCAGAGTCCTTCTGAACTCAGCACTGATGTGGAGCCTTTTAGCTTCTGGCAGCACTGTGGCTCCATACATGGCATCAGCTTGTGGCCAGTGCCTAATCTCAGAGGTTAACCACCCAAACACAGCTCTGGAGGCAGTGCTGGAAATGCCCCATCAGCCCCATTCTGGTGGGGTTGGGTGCAACTCTGTGCTTGTGGCTGCTGCTCAGAAGGACAGAATCTGTTGTGTGTTTGCAGACCTTTCGCAGAGCTCCTCTCCCTCCCTGTCAGACCAACTGCAGATGGGCTGTGAGGAGACGGCCTCGGGGGCACTGAACGTGGAGTGCAGAGTCTGTGGAGACAAAGCCTCGGGCTTCCACTATGGTGTGCACGCCTGCGAGGGCTGCAAGGTGCGTCCTCCCAAGGGAGACTGGGGTTCAGCCTGGGTCACACAAACGTGTCCCACTTCTTAGCTCGTTATGCTTTAATTTGTAAAGCAAATCCTTCTACCCCCTTGCGGACCTTGGCTTTGCTTTTAAAGATGCTGTCTGTGCTGCAGATCAGCCGTGAGCTGCGTGTTTATCCCACTGGGATTGCTGGCCACAGCTTGGCCGCACCTCTAAAATTCCTTCCCCCGCACCAGATGCCAGCGGGGCTGCACTAGCAGTGAGGCCCTGCCAGACTTTCCTGCAGGCTGGGGCCCACAGTCTGTTCCTCCATCCCTCCCTGCTGGCTGTATGCAGTATCAGCACCCAGTCCCACTCTACCCCTTTTCTGACCACACCACCTCTCCTTGTGGCTCTGTACTGAAAACACCCAATGGAGGATGAACCTCTGTGAAGCTGCTGTGGATAACAAACTGGCCTGATCCTAAAGTGTGGGTGCTAACATTGCTGTTCCCTTGTCCCCCTGCTCCTCATCCCACTCTGTGCAGGGTTTCTTTCGCCGAACAATCCGCATGAAGCTGGAATATGAGAAGTGTGAGAGAAGCTGCAAGATTCAGAAGAAAAACCGGAATAAGTGCCAGTACTGCCGCTTCCAGAAATGCCTCTCATTGGGCATGTCACATAATGGTGAGTGTTACTGTTGTTTCCTGGGCCTTCTGGTGAGGTGCCCTGGGGCCATCTGCCCCATGAGCAATTCTTCATCCCAAGAATTCATAGGCACATAGTGATAGGACAAGGGGAAACAGTTTTAAACTAAAAGAGGGGAGATTTAGGTTAGATGTTAGGAGGAAATCCTTTACTCAGAGGCCAGCAAGGCTCTGGCACTGCTGCTCAGAGCTGTGGGTGCCCCAATCCTGGAGATGCCTGAGGCCATGGAAGGGGCCTTGAGCAGCCTAGGGGGTACCCAGCCCACAGCAGGGGTGGGGCTAGGGGGGCTGTAAGGTCTTTTCCAACCCAACCATTCCATGGTTCTGTGATTCACACGGAGAGGCCATACGTAGCTTGCATTACACTGGCTTTTTTTACCATGGAATCAGCTTCTTTCAAGCCCAGCAGGGCATCGGGCCTTGTCTCTTTCATTCATTTTTTCCCTACTAGAATGGACTTTTTCATCCTGCCATGCAGGCTGGCTGCTGGCACATGGCTCTCCCTTTTATGTTGGCCCAGTGGGAACTAGACACACAGCTTGCTGGGATTTTTGAACTTCAGGTGGAACCATCTTGTTCCTGGCCCAGCCAAGGTGTTTATGTGGGAAGCAGGGCTTGTGGTAGAGCCCATATGAGTGGAGATGGGGGGCTGTGTTGTCTGATTCTCTGGCTTTGCTCCTCGCAGCGATCCGCTTTGGCCGCATGCCGGAGGCAGAGAAGAGGAAGCTGGTAGCAGGGCTGACGGCGAGTGAGATCAGCTGCCAGAACCCACAGGTGGCTGACCTGAAAGCTTTCTCCAAGCACATCTACAACGCCTACCTGAAAAACTTCAACATGACCAAAAAGAAAGCGAGAGGTATCTTGACCGGGAAAGCCAGCAGCACCCCAGTAAGTTCCCTCCAGTGGCAGGCAGGGCTGGCTGCAGCCTGTGTGGGGGGCTGTTCTCTGGGCTCGTCTTCCTCCTGCTCTAACTATTGCACGTGCACCAGTTCCCAGCTACGTGGTATTTACATGTCTTGCCACTTGCTGGGAAAATTCCCACCTCTCCTCAGACTTGTGCATGTGTGTGTGGGTGCTGTTTGCCAGTGCTCCCTTAGCACCGGCAGGAGAGAGCAGCAGATGGACAGGCCAAGGTGAGTGTCCTGGGCAGAGCATGAGTGCAGCAGGTTCCTGACCACTCTCTTCTTTTTCAAGCAGCCTTTTGTGATCCATGACATGGACACCCTGTGGCAAGCAGAAAAGGGGCTGGTCTGGAAACAGCTGGTGAATGGGATCCCCCCCTACAAAGAGATTGGGGTGCACGTCTTCTACCGCTGCCAGTGCACCACGGTAGAAACTGTGCGGGAGCTCACCGAGTTTGCCAAGAGCATCCCCAGCTTCATAGGCCTCTACTTGAATGACCAAGTGACTCTGCTGAAGTATGGGGTGCACGAGGCCATCTTTGCTATGCTGGCCTCTATCATGAATAAGGATGGGCTGCTGGTGGCCAATGGGAATGGCTTCGTGACCCGCGAGTTCCTGCGTAGCTTGCGCAAGCCCTTCAACGAGATCATGGAGCCCAAGTTTGAGTTTGCTGTGAAGTTCAACGCACTGGAGCTGGATGACAGCGACCTGTCTCTGTTTGTGGCTGCCATTATCCTGTGCGGAGGTGAGCAGATGCAGAATCCCCCAGGGATATGGGGACTGGAGGGGTCGGGCTGCAGCTAACCCGGGGCTTCAGTGGGGCCTTTGCTGGCAGAGATCAGCCATGGGTGTCTTATCGTAGTATCATAGAATGGTTTATGTTAGAAGAGATCTTTAAGTTTCATCTGGTTTAACCCCCATGCCATGGGTTGCAAGTCTTAGAGGGGTGAGAGAAGAACTGAGCAGTTCTGACCCCAAAGATTGGACCAAGTACCATCCCTTTCAAATCAGCTGCTGAGGACATGCAGGCTGAGGGCATGCAGTTTCCCCCTTTTCTTGGTTGACTGGATTGGAGTCACTGTGGGTGGGTTCCACTCCCCATCTCCATACCTCCACAAGCAGTGTGGGCTACACCATAACACCAACTGCCACGCTTCCTTCCCACAGACCGTCCCGGCCTGATGAACGTGAAGCAGGTGGAGGAGATCCAAGACAACATCCTCCGAGCACTGGAGTTCCACCTGCAGTCCAACCACCCGGACGCCCAGTACCTCTTCCCCAAGCTGCTGCAGAAGATGGCTGACCTGCGGCAGCTGGTGACAGAGCACGCCCAGCTGGTGCAGAAGATCAAGAAGACAGAGACAGAGACCTCCCTGCACCCGCTCCTGCAGGAGATCTACAAGGACATGTATTAAGGACCTCTTATTTATGAGAATGAAGCCATGGATTCCAAGCGAGACTCTTTGTACAAAAACAAAGAAAACCTTTCCCCATGTCTTCCATTTCTTCTACTGGAAACTCTTTTCTACACGCCTCCAATGTACGGTACATAGGACAAGGCGCCGGAAGGTTTTGCAGCCACCTCCTGGTAGCTTGGGACTTCCATTAACACACTAACGAATTTACAAAGGCAAATCATAAGCTACTGTTTCCATTACTGTGGGGCCTCCAGAGCAGCTGGGTTGTTTGCATGGCATGGACAGGGGGTTCCTGCAGCAGCTTGGGGCTAGTGGGGGCTGCTCTGGTTGTTCAGAGCCCCAAGCGTGGTGTGGTTTCCCTGTGGGCAGCAGCAGCACTTAGGGTGTGTCTTTATCATATTGCACTCTAAAGATGTAGTCCTGAGCTGTGAAGTTTAGGACAGTGACACAAAAGGAAGTATTTCTCTTCCCCAAGGAAAAGCTGACATATTTGAAGATGTCTATGGCTGTCCTAGCAAAGAGCCTTGGTTGCAGCCCCCCTCTCTGTGCTCCCAGTGCCTCCACTTCAGAGGAACCTGTCCCTTAGCACCTCTGTGTCAAAGAGGGGAGGGAAGGGGTTGACTCAAGAATTCACCTTCGGAGCAGAGGCCGTAATCCTTCTGCTTCCTCAGGCAGTTCTGTGCAGATAGGAGTTCTAGAAAGGTCTGCACAGGGCAGGTTTGGGATGAGGTGGCTGTGCTGGGCTCCCTGCAAGCACCAGAGCAAGCAAAGCCTTCAGCAACACCAGCATGCGGAAAGTCACAGCCAGCCCACAGAGCCCAGGGTGCTGACAGGGCGTTTGTGGGGCTGTGGGGAGGGAGCACATCCCAGGCTGGAAGGTTCTGCAGAAGAGATCTGGTGATCCACGACTCCAGCAGAGCAGCCTTGGCATGGGAACAGCAGCACTGAGGAGTACAGGAGATCGCTGCACCCCAACCTGGTGTTGCTGCCACCAAAGCGTGCGTGGCCTTCACCCCTCTGCTTATGGCTGTGCCTCAGTTTCCCCCTCCAGGAAAGGAAGCCAGGCTGCCCTTTGCTCAGAGGGGGGAAATGAAAATCGATCAGTGTACTGGTTGCAAAGAGCTTTGCAGCTGTAAAACACAATATAAACACCAAGTATTCATAAGGGGGAGAGATGCTCACACCAAGCTGCCAGGGAGGCGTCCCATGCTCTGCTCCATCCACACCCTGAGCTTTGGGTTCTGGCCTTCCCCTCCATGCTGCTGGGCTGGCAATCCCACACCTGCTGCTGCCCTCTGCCTCCTCATTGTGCCTCAGTTTCCCCACCCTCACCTCCCAGCCATACCTCACAGGGCTGTTAAGGAGTTACCATTTCTAAAGCACTTTGAAGTCCTCTGAGGAAGGCACCAGAGATGTGTGCTGCTCCCAGCATGGGGGTCTGTCCCCAAAGCCCCCGCTGGCCCCAGCTCGGTGGCACCCCTAGGGCACATGGACCCCTGCGTTGGTCACCTGGGGGACTTTTTGCTCTTCCCTTCAGTGTAACAACCCTCAAACTGAAATGTATATTTTTGCTAGAAGTACAAACCTCCAAGTGTTTTTAATAATATAAATAGTGTCTGCAAACTGACTTGACTTTAAATAAATCTGAACTAAATATTTAAGCACCTTTTAGCACCCAGTCCTTCTGTGCAGGATTGAGCACTCAGGTTGTTTCCAGCACAGGGAATGGGATGCATTTCCATTCCTGCCTGCATTCTGCATTTCCAGCGGGACCAAAAGGCAGTGGGAGTGTGTTGTCAGTGTGGTCTCAGCTTCATTTAAGTGCTCTCTGCCCCAGATCTAACGTGAACCAGCATAGTGAACCTGCTCAGGTGCTCCAGGGGAGGTTACATCGTGTCCCTTTGCATTTCCCATGCTTGATTTATGGCAATTTGGGGATAGAGATCTCCTCCCCACACCTCCCACCAGCATAAGGTACAGCAGGGCAAGGGTTAACACAATTAAGGTGAGGGTGTGCCCACTCCACCAAGGTCATAAAAGCCCCAGAAGGAGCTCTCGCCCTCTGCACCGCCGGAGGAGATGGAGCCGGGCTCGCTGGGGGCACTACGGGGCCGGGGGGGCTCTGTGAGACCCCTGTGCAGGTAGGGCTTGGGGAGGGGGGCTGCTGGAAAGGCTCTGGGGGAGAATGGGCTTCGAGCAGAGCCCCGTTGGAGGGCAGAGTCGTGTCTCTGATAATTCCCTCCTCCCTCCCCCCCGTCCAGTGTTTCCCCCGGAGAGTGTTGGGGTGAAGAGGAAAGTGCCCGGCGGCCCCTCCGACCTGGGGGTCCAGGGTGGGTGCCCAGTGCTGAGGAGTCCCTGCTGCCTTCTGCCCCCTATGGGGAGCCGGGGGGGGTTTCTCAGGGTTGCGCAGTTCAGGTCCCCCCTCCAGCCCAGCCTCGGGCTTCGTTTGCCTCGCAATTAGCGGGGAGATAAAGCTGAGTCGGGAGATCCGCAGGGGACAAAACGTGGTCGTATCACTGAAAGCCACTGCCTGGGGGTGATGCTCCATCCCTGAGTTTTGGGGCCGCCCCCCGGCCGTGGGGTTTCTCCCTTTTCGCAGGAATTTTGCCCGCGGTTCGTGCAGGTTTGGGCAGCGCTGCCGATTCTCGCACGGCACGAAGGTCCCCTCGGCCCAGCACCGCGCTCCGGGAGAGCGCTGCGAGTGAGTGAATGAATGGGGACGGGGTGGGGGGGACTGGTAGCGGGGTGTGGGGGGGGGGGTGACTCCTCTTTGTGTCCCCTCTCTGTGTCCCTCTGCTCCTCCAGCTCCCAGCACGACCCGGAGCAGCCGCTGCCCGCAGTGAACGGCCACAGCCCGGTGCACCCCCGCCGGGGGGGCTCAGAGCCGGGAGCGGTGGCCCGGAGCCGGGGGGGAGCGGGGCACAGCTCTGCTCCCAGCACAGCGCGGGCAGCCTTCGGACTGCCACGGGTGGAGGAAGAGGATGGCAATGAGAACATCCCCGCACGCGGTGACCCCCGCAGATGGGCTGTCCGTGGAGGATTCGGCTCTGCGAGAGCTCGGAATGCCGCAGGTGGGTGCCGGGCTGCCCCAGGACCAGCGGGGCTGCGGGTGGCGGTGGAGCATCCCGCGTGTGCCTGCCCTTGTCCCAAATCTTCCCCCCCCAAAAAAAAGCCATGCTGGGGTTTTGGCTCTCTTTGTAAGAGAGGGGGGTACTTGAGTGTTAAGCCTGTGTTCTGCGGGCAGCTGGACCCGGTGATGGGGTGGGATGTGTTTTTCTAACAGCTCCTCTGTCCTCAGGCTCCTGCCTGAAGGGGCTGAGATCAGATTCCCCAGCCCCCAGCAAAGCAATGGAGGCAGCGTGGGCTCAGTGCTTGGAGGTGGGTTCAGTCCCACGGCTGTGCAGCCGTTGTCACCCCGCATGACCCTCAGGTGTGAGGTCACGGGCTGCAGTGCTGTGCTGCTGTTTGTAGGATCCCACCGAGCACGGTGCTGCCGCAGCTCCGGTACCCATCGCAGATCGGAGGGCCCGCAGTGAGGCCGTGATGTGCGGCATTTGCATGGAGCGGGTCTATGAGAAGGCGCTGCCGGAGGAGCGGCTCTTTGGGATCCTCCCCAACTGCAGCCACGCTTTCTGCCTGGGCTGCATCCGCACGTGGAGACGCAGCCGGGACTTCCCAAACACGGTCATCAAGTGAGTTTTGTAGGGACACACGGGGCAGTGCAGGGGTGGGGTCACTGCCCACTGCTCCATGCCCTGAAGTCTTTCCTTGAGAGTGGGAGCTGTGATGGGGATGGGATGAGGATGCTGTGTACTCCCATGTGGGTACTGAGCTCTGCCAGGGCTGCTCCCTTTTTAGGACCAATGTCAAGTTGGCTATTAGGAAAAAAATCTTACCAGGAAGATGGTCAGGTATTGGCATGGGATACCCAGGGAGTGGTGTGTCACCATCCCTGGAGGGGTTCAAGTGGCACTGAGGGATGTGGTCTGTGGGCGTGGTGGGTTGGGGTGGAGTTGGACTTAAGGATCTCAGAGGTCTTCCAACCTTAATGATTCTATTGCATTCACTCAGAGCCTGCCCAGAGTGCCGGCTCACCTCCACCTTCTACATCCCCCACAAGTTCTGGGTCTCAGATGGAGATGAGAAGCAGCAGCTCATCGAAAGCTTCAAGGCACGGACAGGGTGAGTGTGCAGCACTGTGGGCTCTGCAGCTCTCCAGCAGTGCTCACAGCTGCTGTTTGAACTGTGCAGGAAAATCAGGTGCAAATTCTTCACCCGGAACCGCGGCCGCTGCCCGTTTGGGTCTGACTGCATCTACCTGCATGAGCTGCCCAGAGGGCGACCAGCACTGCGGCACAGCCGGCAGCACCTGAGGATGCACACTGTGAGTGGGGCAATGCATCATTTGGGGTAGGGGCACCTTGGGGCCGGGGCTCACCCTCTGTCCTCTGCTACAGGAGCGCAGCCCCACTCCTGTGGAAAGCTCTGATGAGGAAGAAGATGAATTCCACCTGCTTGAATGGGCTGTCACCAGTGCTCTGCTGGAGTTGGAGTTGCTGTACACAAGTTATAGCCATGAGATGCTCTTTGAGGACAGCAGTGATTCAGACTGAACCCTGGGTACTCGCTTGGGTGCTCTTGGCTTCAAGGAAGCATCTTCTGGGAATGGAATAATACACCTTTAATGCTTTGAGCTGCTCCTGGCTTTGGTATGGGGGAGGGGGTGGGGTTAGCTGTGGGATGGGGGAATTGGATGGTCCGGCTGCTGTGAGCCTGGCTGGAGCCCATGGAGCCGGGTGATGAGGTGGGGAGCGTGGGGCGATGGGGTTCAGCCCCTCCTGTTGCCTTCTGCACCCCTGGGAGACTCTGCAGGAACCGGGATGGGGAGGGAGGTTTTAACGCACGGAGTGCTGAGAGGAATGGGGAGCCGGGCTGCCCTGGGGCGCGGTTTTAAAATATTTTTAGCGAAATCTGGGAATAACGAAATAAAACACAGCGCAGACGCTGCCTTCAGACCCCCGGTCCAAGCGGGTCGGCGCGAGCGGGGCGCGTTCGCCTTTAAGGGCTCCTTTGCACTTGGCACGTGGGATCATTTGCATACAGCGCGCGCTTTTGGTTGTTGTTTTTTGCCGGGCCGGGTGCGGAAGTGGCGCGCGTGGCTCCGCGGGGCTCCGAGCGCCTCGTCTTCCCCAGCACGGATGGGCAGGGAGGGGAGCAGCGCTCCGCGTTCCGCCTGGAGCTGCGGCTGCCCCCGGAGGACGGGGTGTGGAGGCCCCCCATAGCGCTGCTGTGACCTTCGGCCGGGTAACGCGGCCTTCCTGAGGGTCCTCCCCGTAACCGTGCCCCCCCCCGCCCTGCTGCGGGGCTCTGGGAGCATCCAGCGGGTCACTGCAGGCGCTGCTCCGCCTCCTGTTTCCCTGCGGGCGGATGGAGCTTCCCTGGCTGCAGCTCCTTGCCAAGCCGTGCCGCCTGCTGCTGCACGCTCTCTCCTCCGGCCCCGCTGGCACGCTGGCTGCTCTCCGTGCGCTGCAGCGGCTGCAGGCCCAGGAAGGACCGGGACACGCGTTCCCCTGGCGGAGTTTTGTGGGCGCGCTGTGTGCGGAGGAGCCCACGCTGGACGGGCCGGACGGAGCCCTGGCTGTGTGAGTCAGCTGCGATCCCGAAACTCGGGGCTCAGTGGGAGGTCGGGTTCGTCAGGTTCCCTATTCCTGTGCAGTCGGTGCAGTGGTCTATGTGGAATGCTGTGGTCCCACTGCTTTTCTGCAAAACCTACTGGAGGTGTTTGCTGTTCTCTCCAACGTCCTCCCCTACTACACCTCTCTTTACAGCTCAGGAGGGCACATAAGAGCTGTGGAGTGCTTTGCAGTGATGCAGCCTCTTCTTTTTCTCCCCTTTTCCAGCAAACCGCGGCTGCTGCTGCTCCCCATCCTGTGCCAGAGGAACCTCTTCTCCCTGCTGCATGCAGTAGCAGCGATGGTACCTGCAGACTGCCTCCACCAGCTGCTGCATGCTGCAGAGCAGGAGCCCCAGCCAGACCCCTGGGTGCACGCACTGGGGGTGCTGCTGCTGCGGGGAGAGGAGCGTTCCTCCCCACCTCCCCCTGCCCTGACAGCTTCCTGCCAGCAGCAGCTCAAGTGTCTGTGCCAGAAAATTGCCCAGAGCAAAGCAGAGGGGAGGAGGAAACTGAAGTGGTGCTTCAGCAAACAGAATGGGGATGCGGCTGATTCTGTGCTTCCAGGGGGGAAGCGCAAGAAGGCGCTGGAGGAAAGCCTGGAGCTGAGCGAGGAGAGGGAGGGGAAGAGGCCATTGCTGGAGGATGCGGTGTTTGAGTTGCAGGAAGGTCTGGATGGCACAGCTGGGGTGGGAGAAGAGGTGCCTGGGGAGACATCGGGTGATGGATCTGCACAGAGCCCGGCTGGGGCTGCCTTGGAAAGCCCCCAGCAGGATGCAGACAAGGAGCCCAAGAGGATTTCGGGGCTGGAGGTTGCAGTGGAGGTCCAGTCCTTTATCCAGGTACTGGGGAGGGCTTCAGCTTTCTCTGGGTTTCAGTCCTCTTTCATGCTATCTCTCTGCACTCCCTTTGCCAAGCCTTTCCTGCCTTGTTGCAAGGTGGGTGCTGTTCTTGCAGCATTCTGAGTCTCCTGGGGACACAACTCTGCAGCTTCCCTGCCGTGGAAAAAGTCTCCTGGGTGCCTTCAGACTGCTGCTATGTGTATGGTGTGGGCACCTGAGAGGCTCTAGTTTGGGATTTATGACTCTTGAGGATGCTGCTTCTCAAAGTGCTTCTCCTAGAAATCAGGAAGCAAACTGAGCCAGCAGCTCCCCACCTGAAGGTTTTGTTCACCTCTTTCAGCTGGTGAACTTTCAGAGTCTGACTTCTTTCTCCTCACTTTCCCTAGATGCATGGACCAAGGCTGAGAATGCTGCTTCTGCAAGAAGTCAACGTAAGTGGTTGCTTTTGCCTTCTATCTTGGTGGAGATGGGCTGAATGGGCTCATCCCAGGGCCTCCAGAAGGAGTGGGAGAGGAGATGGGTTTTGTAGGGTGACTGGCAGGAGACAAAAGGCCAGCTGTGTCACCTCCTCTACAGCCTGTGGATCAGGCTGGGAGGCAGTAGGGAGGAGAAAAGCCCTAGAGCAGCATTTTGTGGTTTGGTTTGTTTGGTGCATTAACCAAGGACAGTGTGTCTCTGCAGCGCACAGAGCCGAGCATCCCACCTGAGCTGCACATCCTCAACAGCTGCTCTCCAAGCCAGGTGAGAACTGGTATCCTCACAACTGGTGGTGTTGCTGCTGCCCCTGACAGCCTTGTCCTTTCTGCTGTCCCCAGCTCGAGGGGCTGTGCTCCTTCCTCCAGCTCTCCACGTGCCCGGAGCAGCTCTTGGTGCAGTTCTGCAGCTGGTTGCTGGCTCTCACACCCGACCTCAGCTATGCCAGCGCAGCTGTTCTGGCTGAGCAGCTCTTCCTCGCACGAGTAAGTGCTCTGGCAGAGCTCTTCCAGCCTGAGTGTGCCCTGTTTCCTTCTCTGCATCCTCACTTCTGCCTTTTCTGCCCATAGGTCCTGTCCCTTGCACAGCCCCCCTCCCGCCACCTCATGGCTGCCCTCACCTCATTCTGCTCCAAGTACTCAGAACCCTTCTGTCAGGTCCTGGTGGCTCCCATCCTGCAGGAGCCAGGGCAAGGTGTGCTCTGGGAGGGGTGTGTGGTGCTGGGGGCAGCTGAAGGAGCTGAAGGGAGAACTGTGGGAAAGCCCTGACTGCGGGGTGCTGTTTTGAGGGCGTTTATCACCCTAAATGTGCATTAGGAACCACAGTGCTGGTAGAATCTGAGCAAGTTAAGCTGGAATGGGAGAGGAGTGTAAGGATGCCTGGTATTGGCAGGGAGGGAGGTGACACTGGCTTCCAGTATCAGCCTTCTTGGAGGAGAGCTGCCATCCCTCCATGGACTTGGGGGTTTCTGACAGTTCCTAATGCTGTGCTGAAACTGCCCAAGGGAGGCATTGCTCTGCACAGATGCAGAGATGTGGCATCTGGGGACACGGTTTAGTGATGGTTGGACTTAATCTTAGAGATCTTTTCCAACTTTAATGATTCTAAACCCTCAGCAGGGCAGCATCCCCCACTGCTGGGAGCTGTTGGCAGTTCAGCTTTTGCAGATGAATGAAGGATGTTGAGCTCTCCAAACAGCAAAAGGAAGCACCACCTGATTTTTGAGTGTCCTGACTGGGACATTCCCTTGGTTGGAGGGCCAGCAGGAAGGGTCAGCACACCCATGTGGGTTTGGCAGCCTCAGCTTTACCCCTACAGGCGCAGAGCAGACCAAGTTGGTGTGTGACCTCGTAGAGGAGTGCCTGGAGCCCGACTACGTGAGAATGGTGTTGGGGTGAGAGATGATGATGAGCTGCAGAGCATGCAGCCAGCGAGGCCATGTGAGCAGCATGGACATCTCCTGTGTTTTGCAGCCAGGTGCTGGCAGTCCCTCTGACCGAGAAGCTGCTGCCGGTGGTGCTGGCGGTGCTGGGCAGGCAGGTGAGGCTGCATTGCGTGCAGCTCCAGCAGCGCCGGGCTGAAGGCCTGCAGTGCTGCCCTCTCTCTTGCAGGAGCCGCTGCCCTCCGAGCTCTTTGACCTCCTGGTGCTCACCCTGTGCCAGCAGGCTGCAGCCTTTGGCACATCGCTGAGCTACGCCAAGCTGGTGACAGCCGTGCTGACCACGTACGGCAGCCAGGTGAGTGCAGCCTTGCAGCCACCGACCCTTAAAGGCTCCCTTCGACCTGTTCTGCAGTTTCCACATCTGTTCTCCCTGCAGCTCAGCCCGTCCCACCGCAGCCGTCTGGCAGCAGCTCTGGATGGCAGCAATGCAGCCCTGAGGAGATCCATGCAGGCGGTGCTGGGCAGGTGGGACCTGCTGCTGGGTGGGCTGCCCCTTCCCTGGGAAATCGCTCATTTCTCTCTTTTCCTCCTCCTCCAGGTGAGCAGTGAGGAGCAGTTGGAGGCTTCCATGGATGGAGGGGAGGATGGCTGTGTGTCCCTCACCTGCACAATGGGGACACAGTGTGTGGCTATATAAAAGCCAGGGAGGGCTGTGGGTGTGTGGGAGCTGGGCTGTGGCTGCACAGCTGCTCTGAGCTGTGCAAATAATGATTTCCTCAGATAAAAGCTTCCAGCTTCTTTTGTCTCGTTTAAACTCGAAAGGAGTGGAGGAGTGGGGAGGAAAGGGTTCTGCCACACTCAAGATGGCGTCTCCTACCCAATATGCCACACATCATGGTTCTTACTCTGCCACTCTCAAGATGGCCTCTCCCGCTGTGCCAAATGAAGCACTCGATGGCTGGCCTCATTCATGTTCTGCCACTCTCAAGATGGCGCCTCTCGCCCTGCCAAACCGAGCAATCAAGATGGCGTCTCCCCCTTGCCTTCCGGTTCTGCCGCGCCCAAGATGGCGGCTGGGGAGGGGCAGGAGTTGTAGGCCTGAACGCAGCGTCTGTGAGGGGAGTTGTGGCGTAAAGGCGATTGTAACGCCAGAAGTGGCTTTGGGGTTACGAATTGAGATACGCTATTTAGCTCCATCACACAGATAGTGGGGATTGGGTGAGATGCACCGCCTGGACCCCATAGCCTGACCTGCTGTTGGTGTCCAGGCAGAGGTGAGACCTGACGGCCAACCTTGTAACAGCGCAGATGTGGACAGCATGGCTGCTGTGGTTGAGGCTTAGTTGGCCATCACAGTTTTGTACTGGGTTTATATTTTCTGAGGCACGGTGGTTGTGCACATCAGCCTTCCTGTCCAACAGCTCAGCCCATTTCTGGGCACTGCTGGGTCTACAGATCTGCTGGGATTTACAAATCTCCCTTCCTCCAGGCCGGGCTCTGTGTTGTTTCCACGTTTGGCATATTTGGTGCTGAGGGACTTTGTCCAGTTGCTGTTCCTTGAGGGGCAGCACCAGTGAGGAGCTGGCACAGCTCAGTCATCTGTGCAGGACGTCGGTGCCTGTTGGTTCAGGAGGGGAATGGGGTTGAGGTAAACTTGGTTTTATTTCTTGGAATCAGTCTTATTTTTTTTATGTCTTCGTGGAGCAGCCTCTCTGTGACATGCTCCTGTACTGCAAAGAGTGATAATTGCCCTTGGTGAGGTGCTCAGGGTGCAATAAGCAGCGTGGTGGGGATGGGTTGATGGTTGGACTTGATATCCTTAGAGGTCTTTTCCAAGTTTAGCAATTCTGTGACTAATAGAAAACGCTGCTATAGCATCAGTGTGCCCAGATTACTCTTCTGTACCCTTGAAAACACCCAGTGGAAATCTGAGCTGGACACGTTCTGACCAGAGAACTGAAAAGATGAGTGTGGGTGGATTTCTGAGGACAGCCACCATTGGAGCGTGCAATGGTGCATTTTGTTTATGAAGCACTTCATCAACTGTTTAAAAAATCATAAACACCGACATCCACACAAGGAGAAGAGGAATTAAAACACAAATGTGTAGCATGCTACTGCTTCGAGTTTGTTCATTAATGCTAAGTGCCAGCCAGAGAAACGAAACTCTGAAATAGCATGATGCTGGTTTCTGCAAAGAGCCTTGTTAGCTGTGGTTTTGCAGTTGGCTGCAGCTTATCACGTACCCTGGGTTCCTGCGAGGTGTACGTGCAAGATAAACCATGAGAAGCTGGAAGCAAACCCTGGAGATGCTGGGTGTGCTGGGGGAAGGCTGCTTGGTTCTGTGTTTTGACTCTGCCTGACCCTCCCAGGAGCTTTAAAATCAGCCTGAGCAGTGAAAAGAGGTGGAAGTGCCATAGAGCATCAGTCAGGCTTTGTAGAAACTTATCCTGGAATGAGGGAGAGCCAGGCTGGGCTGCTGTTTGTCGTCTTTCCTGGTGGTTCTGACAGTCTGAAGTATTGTTAGGTGTTTCCTAGCTGCAATACATGGCAGCGTTCTGTTGATTTATGGGACACTCGACAGCTGCTCTCTATCTGCTTCCTCTTCTCTAGAGAATTACCTCTTTCAGTGTAAGGAGGGGATTTCCCTTTTCTCTCTAATAGTTTCAGGTGGATTTGGGTTCACTGCTCTATGCTGGGGTTTGCTGAAGTCCCCTTGGGTTCTGTTCAGCTTTGCCAGCCTTCGCCATCTTATTAATATTAAAGAAAATTTTAGTGCTGGGTTTAGGGGTAAGAGTTAGAATTACTTTGGGAGATTATTACAGCTATCTTCAGGGTTGTTAGGTTTAGGATTAGTATTACTTTTGGGGTCGGGGCTCTATTAGGGTTGGGGTTATTGCGGTTAGGGCTCTGGCCCTGCCATGCTGACCCCACCAAGAGAACTGCCTTCCCCCTATCAGACCCCACAATTACAATCTGCTTCTATGCTCTGGTGCCCTAGAGTGAGATCCAAGGCTAAATGTGATGCAATACAACCCAATTGGATAACTCTAATAGGATGGCAGTGCTTTAGGATTTGACATTCATGGAGAAAGTGGAATTTCTGGGCAATGTAGAGGAAGGTAATGGGAATAATAAAGCAAAGCAAGGAGAGCACGTGGGGAAAGCGAGGGAAAGGCGAGAGGAAAAGGAGGGGTAGCCTGCAGGGCGCCCTACAGTGCAGTAATCAGCTCTGGGAGCACTATCTTGTGCCACATTACGTAGTGGATAAACAACGTGTGCACACGTTGTCCTCACTTGTTTAGGCAACCAGCAGCCGCACAGCAAAGTCGGGTTCCGGGGCGCTGCTGGAAATGCCACGGAGCGGCTCTCTGCTGCCACCTGCTGGACGCCGATGGGTACTGCAGGCGCTGCCCCGAGCAAAGGTCCTCCGCGCGTTCCAGGAACGTTCCTGGAGGTGTCCAGTGAGTTCTGCAGGGCTCCTCACTGTGCTTTAGGCTGCCCTAGATGCTTTTCAGAGCGTCCTACAGGCGTCTCAGGAACCGCCCTATGTGCTTGGAGAAACATTAGTGTGCTTCCAGAGCTCCTCTACGTGTTCTGAGGTGCCCTAGATGCCTCCAAAATGCCCCCAGCATAATCTGAGGAACCCTAGAGTACTCCCAGAGCTCCTCAGTGTCCACTTGGTGCTGTAGAAGTCTCGCATTGTGCCCTAGAGGCTTCCAAGGACAGCCCAGTGGACTCGAGCACACCATAACGTGCATTGTATAAAATGTTTTAATCCACCATACAAAGCTTCCTGCAGCAATGATGCCTCTTTTGTTCTGCCACAACAAATTCACTTAAATTCACTCCCAGGGTTCTTCCAGGTCGCACTCAGCTCCAAGTTTGAGCGCCTCAGCCCAGAGCAGCGCCCGCAGTACTGAATTGAAGTCAATACGAGGCAACAGGGAGCTCCCTTAGAGCTAGTGCGCATGCGCGGAACTGGGGCGGGCACCTGTCAATCAGCCCCGGCGCTGAGCCAATCGGATGCCGCGATAGGAGCAGAGGGGCTGACTGCTCCTCCGGTCTGAGTAGCGAGCGTGAATCCACGCAAGTGCCGCTTGCTTTGGCGCATGCGCAGTACTGCCGGAGGATCAGTCACCATAGAGCGGTGGTTTCTCTGCGCAGAGAAGCTAGAATTTAGACAAGTCACTTCCGGCTTTCTATGCGCGTCTTACTGCCTGAAGGCTCAAACACCATAGAAGTTGGCGGACTCGAAGCGCAGAGCAGCTTTATGCAAATTACCGATGCGCTGAGCCAATCGATGGCCGCGCGGAGGTAGCTGGGAGTAAAACTGGCCAGTTTCTGGGTTCACTCGGGCACGCGGAGGGGTGCAGGTGTGAGAGATAGCGTGGGGTTAATGGGGAACACGAGTGGGAACTGCTGACAGCTTAGGGAATTCTCGCCATATCTGCAGAGTATGTGGCTGGTGACCAGGATTCGCGATTGGGGCGCTTACGTAGTATAATGTGGTTGTGGGGAAGTCGAGTTGTGTGGTTGGGCTTTATTGCACTGGTTGTTTCGATTACAGGCTGTTCGGTTTTGGTATGGGGAGCGAAATAAAGCGGGGCGTAGAGCTGGCGAGGGAGAAGCGCTGGCAGTTGTAGAGGGGGGGTTGTGTTGCTCGGCGGTTTAGGAGGTGAAGTGGAGCGGGTTTTACGTGTTAGGCTGCCCGCGTTGTACGTTCTGGCGGACCAAAGACCATAGACGTTGGCGGACTCGTAGCGCAGGGCGGTTCGAGGACAGAGATGCTACTTCCGTGCGCATGCGTGTTGCCGCCCGGAGGACCAAATATCATAGAGATTTGCGGGCTTGCGGCGCAGAGCGTTTAGAACAACGCGGAGCAGTTCTGTATCGTGATGATGACAGAACAATGAAACAGGTTGCGCCTCGTCTGGGGACACCCAAAACCTGCCTGGATGCAATCCTGTGCAACGTGTGCCCACGTCTTATAACAGAGCCATCAAATGATCATACAGCCTTTACCTTTCTTTAGGTGAGGTGACCACGTATTGCTCCACAAGTTAATTTCAGGCAGGATTGTCATGACTGATTATTTACCATCAAAAGACGCAGGCTTTTTTGAGGCTGAACCCCCAATACCTCAAAGTTAGTAGAAGAAACCTCTTTAAGTGGTCGTTATTATCCGTGTGGACCATATCTGCAGACAGTTGGACGTCTCAGCACATCAGTATAGGCTCTAGGAACAGTCATCCATGTGGTTTTCTTACTAAAATCTGCTTTTGAGGGACGTTTGCAGGGAGCCCCCATAGCACCGCCTTGTGTGTTTTTCTGCTGAGTCTGAATACCAGGGACAGGGAGTTGAGCACTTCCCTATTAGGTCTCGATCTCCAAACGTGTAATCCCATATAGGATATCCGTGTGATGGCAATAATGCTAAATGTGACAACGTTAAGGTGGTCCTCTTCCCTGACAGAGCTCAGTTTCCAAGAGATAAGGCCTCAGATCTGGCACACAGCATCCAAACAATCCTTTCAAAAGCACTGTTGGTGGGACACACACTTCAGGGCCTACGGAGAAAAAGCTTGTCAGTTTATCCAGTCTTTTTCAATAGGCTCTCAGCTCAGTCTGACAGCAAGCAATATTCCCAGTCTTACGGCAATTAGAGAAGAAAAATATCCTTTGTGTTGGCGATTTTCATTCTGCTGGCCAGAGAGTTTGTTCCGAGTGTTGAAGACAAAAACAAAGCCTTCATTGAGGCTCATGGGGAGAGTGCCTCAT